CTTGTCAGCAGTTTTAGGAGATGGTTCCATTTTTTTTGTTAGATTTGCATAAGAAATCAGTATTTGAGCAAGTTAGAATGGCCTTTGCAAAGGAATATTTACAGAAATAGTATCCTTTTTTCCCTTATGACAATGGCTAGCACAGTGCCATTGCCTCAGCCAGTACTTGGCAACTGCTAAGGAGAATATTCACTGCCAAAGGCCTGTATACTTCTTTGTCAATATAAGCAGAAGAGTTCTAATAAGTCCCTCCACATCCTGAAAGGGTTGTAAGCTATGCTGCTTCCAGGCCAGCAGAGGGAGGACAAGTATAATGCACATTTTCCCAAAGGGAGGTGATAGGAAAAGGCATAAGAAGCCCTAGTAAAAGACGCTTGCTTAACAGTTTCCAAATCAGTTTCCCCAAAATTTTGTTAAGGGATTTCACAAGATCGCACGTGGTGGGCAGAATATTTGTATGACTAATTCTAATTAACTCATGAAGAATGAAGCTTAGGAAGTAAAGAGACTGAGCCATTTTTCTTATAGGCTTCTGAGGTTGCCCCAAATCAGCAGGAGAAGACAGGGTAGCTTTATGAAGAAATTGAAACAAACTTGTCAGCTGGGTCTCTGTAGAAAAATGGCAGAATACTGTATGGGACCTAGAATTAGCAGGGTTCAAGAATGACCCTACCCTCTCAGGGTGCCTGTGGAGTGAAGTTTTAAAGGTTGAAGTATAGAGAAAAATACTTTTGATTGTGAGTCAGGCAGATCTGACTAATACTATATGGGTGCTATGACCTAACAATGTGATCTCAGTCATGTGGTCACAAACTGTCTCTCTGAACCTCTTTGCCTCATGTCAAAAATGGAGGCAATGGGATTAATTTTGTATAATTCTTTAGAGGTGAAAAAGATAATGTATGTGGAGTACTTGGCGGAGTAGGTGTTCAACAAATCAGCAGGGTGAGATTTTTAACAAAGTTTTAGTGCATTGTAATTGTACATTGTAGTGGAGTTCATTTTGACATATTCATAAATGCATATAGCATAGTTTTTTTCCATTTCAATCCCCTTGCTATTCCCTCCCCTCCCTTTCTTCCTCTCTCTGATCCCCTTCCTCTATTCTACTTGGCTTTCATCTATTTATTTTAATTGGTGCATTATAATTATATATAAAATTGGAATGCATTGTGATATATTTACACATGCACATACCATAATTTGCTCAACTTTATTCCCCAGTTCTTCCTTTTTGTCTCCCTTCCTCTCACATCCTGGGTCCCCCTGCAGATTGGGCTTTTTCAATGTATCTGTTTATACAGAAACCTCAGTTCATCAGGCCCTTGATGGCCAGGGAGGTGAAAGGGCTTGCCATAGCTTGTAATCCCTAAGTCTGGACTCTTTCTGCTATCTTGAGAGAGGTAGATACATTAAAGAGGCACTGTTTCTGCCTACTGCTCTCTTTACTTGCTGAAAGGAACACACAGAAAGAAAATGATGTAAATACTGACTGGCAACACCATATATTAAGCAAATACAGGTCCCCCTGATGAGAGTTGAAAGGAAAATACAGACAGGATATAGAGTATAAATCTGGGTTAGTGGGATTCATAACATACATATCTTTTTAAAAGTATGTTTGTAGATGAATAGCATGGCTTTACTTGTTTATTTTTTTATGTGGTGCTAAGGATCGAACCCAGTGCCTCACACATGCTAGGGAAGTGTGTGTCTTTGTGTGTGTGTGTGTGTGTGTGTGTGTGTGTGTGAGAGAGAGAGAGAGAGAGAGAGAGAGAGAGAGAGAGAGAGAGAGAAAGAATTTCAATTTAAAGTACAAATTCAGCCAGTTGGTAGGAATGAGTGAAGTGGAAGTTGAGAGAATCATTACAGAGTAGAGGGAAGAAAACTTTCAGTTTTCTGGTAAGACATCTCTATATTATGTTCATATTTTGAATAGGTAATAAATACCAATAACAAATTTTAAGTTACAAAAACCTACACAGTGAAGAGAAATTTTCCCTCCCTTTTGCTATTTTTGAGCCACCAAATTCATGTTCCTGGAGGCAATTATTTTTATGAGCTTCTTGAATCTACACACAGATGGTGGCATGCTTGTACATGCTGTTCTGCCTCTTAGTTTTTAAATTTAAATTATTCTGGATCAGCACATCTAATACTGTCAATGGCTGCATATAGTGTTGTATCATTTAGATTTAACAATTTATTTAACAAGTCCCCAATAGACATGTAGATTGTTTACAAACAACATTGCAATTAATATCCACATTTTATACACATGCAAGTTTATTTCTAAGATAAATTCCAAGTGGAATTGCTGAGTTATGCACATTTAAAATTTTGATAAATACTCAGTGCTCATCATAGAGGATGTTGTCAACATTCATAATGTGTCAGAATGCCTGTTTCTTTACATCCTGCTATGCAGTGCTTTTTATTTATGTCAATGTGACAGGTGAAAAATGTTATAGCTCAGTTTGATTTTGCTTTCCTCTTACCATGAGTGAAGTTATAAGCAGCCTTCCCATATTTAAAAACCACTTGTATTTCTTTTTTATTAACTTCTCTATCATATATTTCACCAATTTTATCACTGAGGTTTTCATCTTATTTATATTGACTCATAGGAGCTTCTTAAATAATAAAGAAATCAGTATTTTGGGATTAGAATTACAAATGTTTATTGTTCCATTTTTTTTGTAACTTTGCTGTATTTCATGTGAGCAAAAATTTTTATTCCCAACACAAATTTCATTTATTAGAATAGTTCTACAATACATGTTTTCAACAAAATAAGCCACAATTCATGAAGGGAAGAAAAAAGTAATACAGAGATTTAAGAAAACTTATCTTCATTCATTTTTACCTTCTGTTGCCAAGCAGAAAATCTGACTTTAATGTAGTCAAATTTAACATTCTTTTTTCCTGTGTATTTTGAGTGATGTGTCATTGTTAGAAAGATTTTTAATAATGTATCTAATATTTTCTTTTATAATACCTAATTTTGCACTTAAATCATTGATCCATATGGAAATTATTTTGATGTAAGATATGCAGTAGAGATATAGTTTTATTATTTTTTATTTTTTGAATTTTTCAATATTTATTTTTTAGTTCTCAGCGGACACAACATCTTTATTTTATTTTTATGTGGCGCTGAGCTACCGCTTGAGCCACATCCCCAGCCCAAGTTTTATTTTTTATGGATAGTTACTCAGTTATCCCAATATCATTTCTTGATTATTCCATTTTCCCCCAATAACTTGAAATACCACTTTTATCATATACTAAATTCCCATATGTATTTGGATTGACTTATGAACTTATGAACTTTCTTTTCTTTCTTTTTTCTTTTTCTTTTTCTTTTTTTTGATCTGTCAGGTCTGCATGAGTCCAGTCTCTGTTACTTCTGCCTATGTGAGTCTGAGCAGGCTATAATTTCTCTTAATTTAATTTTCTCATCTGTTCATGTACCTCAAAAGGGTTGTATAGATTGCAAAATATAGTTTAAATAAAGTTGTAGTATAAACTTCAAACACTAGTCATTTGAATGTATTATTATAGATGTTGAATATCTGAAGGAAAAATTGATAATAGTTCTGCTTAGGGCAATAGGTGGAAGAACAGACAGTTTTAATTTCCCAGCAAAGATCAAAATAAGCACTTCTGGCCCTTAAAGAAAGATCCACTTGGGTGCTGACAAAATTAAGAAAAACTGAGGTCAATTGTATCATTAAGGTAGTACAGTGTTAAGATACTCAACAGGCATTAATATTTAAAACGAGCTGATAAGGATTAAGGGGGGGTGTGTGCACAGCGCACTTGCACTTGGGGTGGAGTTTGTATAAAGGTCAGAGCCCAGAAGTAATTTTAGTGGAGTCAGGAAGGAATCTGAAGAGACAGATGAAGGAGTCTGAAGGGAGAGAGCCTCAGATGTTAAGACAAAGAAGAGAGGAGCAGAATTGGGGGACCCTGAAGGAATAGGCAGGGATTTTTTTTTTTTTTTTTGCACATGAAGCAAATCTTTTAATGCACTTTAACACTTTTGGCTTAAAACTTCAGTTATTGTTCCAGGTGAAATTCTAAAACTTCAGCCGTAAGTCCTTATGTTCTTGGTGTTAACACTTGAACCTCGCTCTCTGAAGGCAGAAGTAACTTGTCCCAGCAAGTCCCCAGGCAAGGGGAGATGGGCGATGGTACTCCACAGGCACACAGACCAAGCCAGGCCAGGCCACGTCCTTCTTGGCCTTTCTGGATCTCAAAGGGGCTGCAGAAACTGGCTGGTTGTCCTGGCCAGTGATCACACCACGAGTGGGTTCAGTCACCTTCCTTCCCAAGGTCCTGCATCTCCTTACGGGTGCTCAGCTTCGGGCAGGCAAACTCCCTGGCCCTGAGACCGCTGCTGCGCTGCGCAGGTTGCGGCACTGCGCCCGCGTCGGGACGCCCAGGCATCCCGGCCAAGCCACAGCCATCTGGCCGCCCCGCCGCCTGCCGCAGAGGGCAGGGATTTTTGTTACTGTGTATTTTACTGCTAATGAACACCCAAATCATATAACATTTGAAATTCCATCTACTGAAATTCCTTCCTCATTTTGTAGATTTTTGACAGTAAATTTCAATAAGCAATATAGATCTCATGTTAAAATATTTGCATCTCTGGTATCAACAGTTGCATCCCTAGAAATTCTCACATAAACCCATACACAACCCACTAGCCTGCACTGATAGGAAAATAATAGCAAAACAGTCAGGAAAGGGAGGGAGGAGGGAGGGAAGGCAGTGGGCAGAAACCCAGCCTCTGAGTTTCCGGCTAGAGGCAGCAGGTGGCTGCAGGGGTGGGGGTGAATCCCAGCAGAGAGCAAGATGAATATCTTAGGCCTCTCAGGAAGGAGCCACCTGAGACTTGCCCTGAGCTTTAACAAGAAAAACACAAGCTGTAGCTAGTGTGGCAGGGCAGTGTTGGGAGACCAAAAGCACGTGTCTGGGAAGGATAATACACCATGGGGAAGCCTCAGTGGTCAGGCATGGGGCTGCTACTTGGAGCCAGTGTCCTGTTGCTGGCTATGCTCAGAAGTGCTAAGTCTCAAGGAGAGTTCTGTCACCGCTGGATGGACAGCACAGGGCTATTGCATGGAGGCTTCCTATGCCCGGAGGGATATGATAAACCCACTGCTACCTTCTGCTGTGGAACCTGTTCTCTACGCTATTGCTGTGCTACCCTTACGGCTCGACTGGATCAGGGACAGTGTCCAGAGGACATTACCTGGGACCCCAAAGAGGCTATGCTCCCACCTCCAGAAGGTAATCTCTGGGCCAAGGAGTGGTAGGGGGAATTGAAACTGGTGGGGAATGAGATGTTCCCTTTCTGCTGGGTTCACATATCTGTATCATAGGAATTCAAGGTATATAACATGGTGGATTGAGAATCAAATGATCTGTATTGGAATCTTGAGAAAACTGGAGTCTACCACATCCTAATTGCATGACTTTAGGTCAAGTCTTTGCTTCTAGAACCTGCTTCCTCATGAACTTGATGTTTTCATCAGTTTGTGAGGAAATATAAGGGATCAGATAATTCCTATGAAATACAAGAAACCTTTTATACCTGAGTGAAGTGGGCTTCAGGGTGGTCATGAATCCAGCAATACAACCTTGGCCTACATGGGGAAATCAGACTCTAGAATCCTTTGCTTCATAATTTGCTTTCAAATTTTGGTGCTTATCAGGAAAAGCTTTAGAAAACTTCCACAGTTCATACTCACCTGCCCTATTTGGGAAGGCTTAGACTCCCTGGTTAGGGGAAAGAGTTATTTATGAAATTCCCCTCGGTCACTATGGCACCTTACTGATTGGTCTCAGATAGGTGGGACAGATAATATGACTCATTTGTTTATTCAATGAATACTTATTTAGTATCTACACTGTGCCAGCCAGCAGAGACCTAATGTTGAAAAATTTTGCCCTTGTCTCTTTTCCCCTCAAGAATCTGTCAGGGAAGGGAAGGTTGTGAGAATTATAACAGGAACAAGACATGGGAGAAAAGGGTTGCCTGGCACTTCTGCCTTTAAAACAATTTTTAGGATAACATTTCTTGATTGGATGACACTGTGGAGCTCCTGAACCTACCCTGGGGTCCCCTCCCTGCTGTGCACACTCCTGTTTGTCCTGTGTCCTTGTATAAAACAAGTCTAGGGCTGGGGATGTGGCTCAAGCGGTAGCGCACTCGCCTGGCATGAGCCTCGCCTGGGTTCGATCCTCAGCACCACAAACAAAGATGTTGTGTCCGCCAAGAACTAAAAAATAAATATTAAAATTCTCTCTCTCTACCTCTCTCACTCTCTCTTTAAAAAAAACAAATAAAACAAGTCTAAAAACCCTGCCTTGCTGGATGGGTGAGGATTGAAGGAGACAATAGGCATTATGCCTAGTGCATTCATATTTTAAATATATATGGTAATGCCTCTTTTGTCTACTTGTGTCCCTGAGGGTCTACCACAAACTTCCTGCTGAGCTGAGCTCTGTAAAGCTCAGGCATATGGGCTACAGAGACCTAGAGATCCTTCCCAAGTTCAAACCTCAACTTTGAGCCTCATCCCTTGAGAACTTATTACCTGTTACAAGAAATGATACCCCCAAATCTTAGTTGCTACATAATTTCTTAGAACAAAATGAGTTATAAATTAATCTATAAGACTACCACACATACCTCCACATAGTGGTTTTAAATAAATATCTCTGAGTGTCAGAAGTTCCATACTCTAAAACGAAATAAGCCCTTGTCCCTTCCAGATACTCAGTAAGTTTCAGAATTTTGATCTCATTCTATTTATTACAACCCCCATTTTTCTAGACCAGAGTCCTCATTTGCTAAGTATGTTCTTTGTCTTGGCAGTCCATTCCAGCCACTTCTTGATTTTCATTGCTTTTCTCAAGACCTCCAACTGTCCAATTACATATCTCTTGAACATGTTATTTGAAGGTTCAGTCAGCACAATTTTTATGCAATAAGATAACCTTTTATTTTCATTTTATTTAAAGGAAAAGATCAAAATCTAGATAGATTGAGAAAAACAATGTAATGAAAAATTGGGTTATTATATTTAGATGACCTGAAATTTTGCTCTGTCCTTCATGGAAAACTTGCTCTCCTTTTTCTCTCTTTGTCACTATTCTTAGAAAAGAAAACCTCATCTCAAGTATTCCAAAGATGGAGGGGGAAATCCCCTACCTTTGCATAGCACTTTAAAGTTTACAAATGTTTCACATGCCTTAGCTCCTTCAATTTAGACAAAGCTATGAAGTAGATGTTATCCAAATTTTATTAACAAAGCATCTGCAACCTAGAGATTTTAATTGGTTTGTCTATGTCCACATCATTTATTAGTAGTTTAGCCAATAAGTAAGCCCCAGGTCTTGTAGCTGCTAATTTCAAACATTCTTTTTTTTTTTTTTTTTTTGGTGGTGCTAGGGATTGAACCCAGGGCCTAGTGCATGCTAGGCAAGCACTCTGCCACTGAGCTACATCCCCAGCCCCTCAAACATTCTTTCCACTTAACATATTGTCTTTCAAAGGAGGTACTACTGCCTTTTGTTATGTGATATCCTTCCTAAGAAAGGCTGTGCACAGTGTTTTCTCTTTAGGGAAGCAATACAAATTCCTTCAGTAGATGACACCTCTTTTTGCATCTTTGCCTGGATGATAACTGGTAAGTCATAATTTACTGGTCCATAAATATCATTTGGAATACTTTTTCCTAAACATACTTATTACCTCATGCCTATCTATGCCAAAATTCATTTCTCTTGACTCACAAGGCCTTCTGTGGACTTGACTTCTTTCCTGGAGAAATTTGGCGTAAGCTCTGGAAGAAAGGTGTTTGCATTAGAACATGCTCTGGGTATTGGCAAAGTTATGTCTTCCCTCTCCTGTACAGGTGGCAATAGTCCCAGAAACCTGTAACTACCAATTTTTTCTTTCTTCTCTTCATCTTAGGATCCATCTACCTGCCCTTAGTCATTGTGAGTGGCACCTTTGTCACTTTCATCCTATTGGGAATCCTCGCTGGTGTTGCTTGCTTCCGTTGCCTTCGGTCTCAGAGAAGAGATGAACTTTGCACTGCACCTCAAAACCCTGAAGTTACTGTGCTGAGCTCTACTCCCACTCATAGGAGAAATGTCTCAGGAAGCCCACTGCTCCGCCCCAAACCTGATGCTGGTCCAGCCCTGCCTTTCACCACCCAGGAATACCCAGAGAGTACCATCCGTACCATCCCCAAGGCAGTCACAAGGCCTTTTCACTGGCCCCTGCTTGAGTCTTCCCAGATACCATCTCTAACTACAAGTACAGCTATTGTTCTACCACCTTCTCCCCTACTGAGTGGCACAATTTCTTATGGACCAGCCTCTGGTCCACATCCCACAGGCACTACTTGAGAACCCCTTGCTGTATTCAGAGGCTCATTGTTTATAGAATAATCAAGCAAATCCAAAACAAATCTCAAATCAGTCCTGGAACTTGAAGTTGATTTTCTGTTTTCTAAAAACTTGGCTTGCCTTTCAGATGGACAAGTGTCTTCTGTCTGGTTTTTTTTTTTTTTTTTTTTAATATAATCACTCTATGGCTGCTGCCATTGCTTTTTCATAAAGACACGGGACTTCACTTAGAAACAGTATAATTTAGCTGATAATTTGGGCAAATTATTTCTACAGTGGGAATGTTCTCATAAGTTTCCATGTGATCTTAAGGTTTCTAAATGCATTAAAAATGTTTATATGCTAAGGGAAATGGGTAAGAAGAGGATTTCATTTGTTCTGATTAATGTTCACTGCAGTGTTAGCCATTTAAGCTTTCATCTGGAGCCCTGCCTCCAACAAGACAGATGAGAGAGTTTAAGGATTCAGCTCACTCTGGGAGCAATGGAACTTTAACTGTCAGCATTAAATACATGTATATATGCATATATATCTTCTTTTTCAGACCAATATTGAAGGGAGAACTCTAAAGACAGCTAGAGGTCAATGGTGACTGTACCTGCATTTCACAAGACAAAGCAAGATTTCTAGAACAGGACTGTAGGCTGTGAATTTTAAAAGCGGTGGGAAAGGATCCATTGTCCTTTCCTTAAGAGATAAAGCCTTCTGGTACTAATAGATGGTCTGACCTCTGAAATATAATTAATACAGAATACTTTGCCAGAGGTAAATACAAAGATCTTCCCCAGAGTAATCTAAATGGTTTAATATTCAAGTTTTTTACAATTGCTAATGAACAACTCCCTCAAGCACCAATAAGATGGAGAGAGTTATTTATAATTAACTCAGGAATATATTCTTCTCACCCTGAGACCACTGAAGCCTGGATTAGTGACCTCAGGGACCCCAGAGTGATTACTGGTTTAGTATTGATCAAATTTTTAGAATAATTAGAAAGGTTGCTAAAGAGGTTGAATTTATAGGAAATAAAACTAATGTTCTTCTCATTCGCATTTCATGCTTATTTGCATACCACCAGTGTGGAGCTGCTGTCAATGTTCATAAATTCTCATTATCCCTTGCTTGTGGTTGACTTAACTATCAGCTTTCTTTGTGATTTCTGCAAGTCACTTCCTCCCTCTGGGCCTTAGTTTCTCCTCTAGTCAAAAGAGGAAGATGGATGACATAAATAGTGATGATCCTTTCTAGCTTCATCTATGAAAGTGTTTAATCCCAAATGCATGCTAGAATCACTGACAAACTTTTTTTGTGTGTGTGGGGGGAGTACTGGGGTTTGAACTCAGGGGCACTCGACCACTGAGCCATATCCCCAGCCCTATTTTGTATTTTATTTAGAGGCAGGGTCTCACTTTTGCTAAGGCTGGCTTTGAACTTGCAGTCCTCCTGTCTCAGCCTCCTGAGATGTTGGGATTACAGATGTTAGCTGTTAGCATCTTATGCCTGGCTTACTGGCAAACTTGAAAAAATACAGAGGGAGACTAATGCAGACTGAGTAAATCAGAGTGGTTAAGACTATATTTGGATTTTCTTTAAAATTCTTTATATGATGTAATGTGCAGTTTGGGCTGAGAATCACTGATTTCTGATCTGTATCCAGCTTAGGTTAGATCTGACCTGTCTTAGATACAGTTTTGAGGCAAATGTATTCATTTCCTAAAGCTTCTATAAGAAATTACTATAAAATCAGTTACTTAAAAATGAAGCAAACTTATTATCTGATAGTTTTGGAGGTCAGAGTTCAAAATTAGATTTACTGGACTGTACTGAAGGTATCATCATGGCTGATCTGTCCTGGACCATCTGGTGTGGAGGATTCCATTTATTTGTGTTTTGTAGCTTCTAGTGGTTGGTTATCTGTATCCATTAGCTTGTAAGCCCTTCCTCCATCTTTAAGTGCATCATTTCAGTCTCCACTTCTGTCATCACTTCAGTTTCTTTTCTTATTCTGACTATGCCTATTTCCCACTTATAAGGTCTGGGATTGCATCAGGCCTACCCATAGATCCCAATTTCAAGAGCTTTAATATAATCAGGTCTGAAAACTCTCTTTGACACATAAGGTAATAGAGTCACAAATACTGAAGATAAGGAAATGAGGTCATTATCTGGCCTATCATAGTAATCTTTCATTTTTCATGTTTCAACTGTATATAGAGTGACTTAAGTACCAGATTAAAAAGAAAAGTATGATTCTAGTGGGTATTTTCTTGGTATAAGAGGAACAGAAAATAGAGTGCAATGAAAAAATACCTTGTTATTATGTAATGCCTCACTTTCATATTCATTACTTTCTTTGATCCTTTGAGTCAGCATGGGAGATTGGTGGCATTACCTGAGGTTGGGTTGAATTTAAAAAAAAAAAAAAAAAAAAAAACTGTCCAAAATGACAAGGGTAAGACTTGGTGTAGGGTTGCCAGATGTAACAAATTAAGTGCAGAGGCTACATTAAATCTGAATTTCAGATAAGCTAAACCTTTACAGGTATATTCCATGTAGTATTTGTAACATACTCCAAAAGCATCCAATGTTTATTAGAAATTAAAGCTGTATATTCCAGATTTTATTTGGCAGGTTTACCTTTGTGTGCTCACTCCATTATAACTCCAGTTTTCCCTTATTCCACAATCCCATACTTCTGCTACTACTATAATTTTCAGTGACACTTTTAAAATTATCTTATTTAGTTTTACAGTTACAGTTACAATTCATGAAGCTGTTAAACATACTATTTACTTTGATTCTCAAAATAAGTATCCTCTCCCACCAGAGACAGAGTAGGTATTATGAATTCCCATTTCATAAACAGTCATCAAACACAAGGAAGATCACTAACTTGCCCATAGTTACCTGAACTCTCGATCTTTTGCTTTTTCTACATTCTCCTAGATTTGTCCCCCTATGGCATTCCACACTTATCTACAAGTCCTCAGGTTTTTCTGATTTTTCTAGCTTCTTGAATTCATCCCTTGAACACTTCATTCTGACCTCAATTGATGTTGCTGCCATGTCTGCAAGATAAGTCCTTTCTGACCCTAACACCTGGATTCCCAAGCGTAGGTTGTTCTTATCATGTAACCTCTTCCTATAAGCTTTAGATCTCAGTGTGATAATCCAGCCTGTTGATCCTAGAATCAAACTGCTTTGCCTCTCAGTCATGGAGACAGGGAAGTGATGTGCCCGAGAAGTGACTTAATTCATTCATTCATCTACGCAGCCTGTCTTGTTCCAAAAGAGAATTTGAGGAGTTGAGTGAAGTAAATTCTTAAGAATCAAAGGAAGAGAAGTTGGAAGACAGAACCAAATCCCTGAGAATGGTCCCCAGCATTGCTATTGCTTCTGCACAATATCCTCTGTATAGGCTATAATGATATTTGCCATATGGACTAGGCAGGCTAGAGAACAGAGTTAATATATCCCTTCTTTTATAGATAAAGAAACTGAGTCCAAGTGAGGAAAACAGTCATAATGTATGAGGAACAGAGTTGGAGCAGGATCTCAGAGTTTCCTAACCTCCAGTTAATTTTATTTTCTACTGTACATAATGAGAAACTTTTTTATTTTGTTTAATAATCCCTTGCTTGAATATTAGTCTTGACAATCTAAAGATACTTTCTTCTCATTATCTTAGTCTTATTTATAGAATGTGAAAGGCTACTGTTAAGTCAGAGGCTAGAATTTAGTTGATAAGAGATTCAGGACCTAGGTACATTCTGAACTGTGCCTTCTCATGAGTTCAAACTGAAAACAGTTCAGTGATCCCCTCCCTCCTTTCCCATCTGACTTCCATATCACTAACTCCCACCCCACCCAACCCATCTGAGAATAAAACTGGAGATTGAGTTAGTAGTATTAGTCAATCATTGCCTGGGGTATTTTTATACTGAGATACCTTCCTCCTTTACATATATCTGTCCTAATGTAAGGAGCAGAATTTAGCCAAGTGGACTGGATCACTGGACACTATGATACTGAGGTACTTAAGAATGAAGTTTCTTGATTTTGGTCTCATACCTCTCTATCCCAGGGGCTTTTACTGGAATCTCTGCTAATGATGTGTGGTGCTGAGGATTGAACCCAGGGCCTCACACATGCTAGGTGAGCGCTCTACCACTGAGACACAATCCCAGCCCCTCTAGCACTATTTTTTTAAAAAAATTTTTTAAAGAGAGAGAGAGAGAGAGAGAGAGAGAGAGAGAGAGAGAGAGAGAGAGAGAATTTTTTAATATTTATTTTTTTAGTTCTTGGCGGACACAACATCTTTGTTTGTATGTGGTGCTGAGGATGGAACCCGGGCCGCATGCATGCCAGGCGAGCGCGCTACCGCTTGAGCCACATCCCCAGCCCCCCCGCACTATTTTTAATAGCAACAAACAAATAACAACCAAAAAATAAAAAATAACAACAGTAAGCACACACTTCAGTTCCTAGGAACACTTAAGAATGTTTATGACAAGTATTACAGATTATGGGATATCATCTTTATCTATAAAGGATGGCAGTATTTATTAACTGGCTAATATATGACTGCAAAATGAAAAAATAAGTGTTCAGTGAGTCCTCAAAATAGACTGATACAAAAAGAGATGGGGATAATTAACCCCCTTTGTTTGTAGACCATTATAGTTAGAAATATATTTAGAAATTATCCAGTCACCTTTCCATTACCCATTTTATAAGATGGGAAACAGGCATAAAAAGAACAATGACATACCCCTAATCATAATTGCCAACTAGTGCCAGAGCTAGGACTATAAGCTTTTGAATATTAAATTAACATTTTACCTACAGTATCACATCACTTCACAAATTCCCAGAGAAGGAAAGTATCAGGCCCAGAGTCACACAGTTCAGCAGTGCTAAAGAGAGGAGTAAATGCAAAGTTTTCTGCTTTATAGGCCATGATCTTTCTAGTCTCTGGAAGACCAATAACAACAATCATA